GGGCAAGACACTTCACCCACCTTGCCTACTGATGGTGGGGTGGCGCCGATGCATGGCAGCCCCACCTCTATCAGTGTGCCCCAGGGCAGCTGTGGCTACAATGTAGTTTGCCATCATCAGTGTGTGAATGTGAGTGTGAATGGGTGAATGTCTGTTAGTGTAAAGCGCTTTGGGGGTCCGGAGGGACTTGAAAAGCGCTCTATAAGTTCAGTACCATTTACCATTTACCCCATTTGGGCTTTTTGAGTTCTTCTGCACACCGTTTGGACTCAAGGGGCAGCACAAACTTTTCAAAGGTTGATTGACTTAGTATTGCGGGGTCTCAACTTTGTGTTTGTCTATCTGGACGACATTTTGGTGGCCAGCTCATCTACTGAAGAGCACCTGTTGCACCTCAGAGAAGTTTTTCAGCATTTGGATGCACATGGCCTAATCGTTAAMCTGGTTAAGTGCCAGTTTGGTTTACCGGTGATRGATTTTTTAGGTCATCGTATTTCCACACAAGGTGCAGTTCCATTGCCTGGCAAGGTACAGGTGGTGGTGGAGTTCCCACGTCCAGCAGTGGTGAAGTCATTGCAGGAGTTTTTAGGCATGGTGAACTTTTACAACAGGTTCATTCCCAGCACAGCTCATCTCCTGCAGCCTCTTTATGAGGCCGTGCATTTGAGGATGACAACTGATGCAGTTGTCTGGACTCCTGACCGGGTTGCTGCATTTGACGGTGCTAAGTCTGCCTTAGCTAATGCGGCACTCCTTGCGCATCCGGATTCAGATGCCCCAATTGCCCTGACAACCGATGCTTCAGATTTAGCTATTGGGGCTATTGTAGAGCAGCGTGTTGGGGATGCATGGCAGCCGCTGGCATTTTTCAGCCATAAATTGCGGGATTGTGAGCGAAAGTACAGCGTATTCGACCGCGAGTTGCTGGCACTTTTTTTGGCTACGTGACATTTCCGTTTTTTGCTGGAGGGTCGCCCATTTACAGCTTATGTAGACCACAAACCACTGACATTTGCTATGTCTAAAGTGACTGAACCCTGGTCAGCGCATCAACAGCAACACTGAGTTTACAACTGACATCCGCCATGTAGCTGGAAAGTCTAATTCAGTGGCAGACTGTCTGTCACGAGTGCTTGTTTGTCCTGTGCTTCTCGGTGTGGATTTGGCTGCCGACCAACCCAGGGTTGCTGATATCTCTGCCCTTCGTACTGGCGTTTCTGGTCTTAAGCTCAAGGATTTCAAGATGGGAGAGAGAGGTCCTTTGATCCTGTGTGACGTTTCCACGGGCCGACCATGACTGGTGGTTCCAACAGGTTGGCACCGTCACATTTTTGACTTTGTTCACTCACTCTCGCACCCAGGTGTGCGGGCATCTGTGAAAGTCGTCAGTTCACGCTTTGTGTGACCGGGTTTACGCAGAGAGGTGAAGAGTTGGGCAGCAGCTTGCGTGAAGTGTCAGCATGCCGAAGTGCACCGGCACGCTAAAACACCACTTGAACCGCTTCCTATCCCAGCCAAGCGTTTTGACCATGTGCATGTGGACTTAGTTAGTCCTTTGCCTCCATCATGGGGTTTCACACACATGCTCACAGTGGTTGATCGTACAACCAGGTGGCCAGAGGTTGTTCCTCTTTCCTCCACTGCAACCTCTGATGTGGCTGGTGCGTTCCTCGCCACTTGGGTTGCCCGTTTTGGCGTGCCCTCAGACAGAAGCTCGGACAGAGGTCCCCAGTTTATTTCAGGGCTCTGGTCTGAGATGGCGCGCTCCTTGGGGGTACAGGTGCATCGCACTACTGCTTACCACTCTCAAGCTAACGGTTTGTGTGAACGGTTCCATCGGTCACTTAAGGCGGCATTGTGTGCTGCACTCACTGATGATGGCTGGGTGGATTGTTTGCCATGGGTGCTGCTTGGGTTGAGTTCAGCTCCTAAAGAGGACTTCGATGCTTCATCTGCCGAGCTGGTGTTTATCAGCCCTTACGCATCCAGGGGAATTTTAGTTAGATGCTACCACTCCATGTTTCTGTGCAGCAGTAAACCTCTGTTTACCGGGCGGTCTTTTGGTTCCGTGTCCTTTGCATCATTGTTTTCCACGGGCATTTGTGCCCACTGCCCTCCAGTCTGCCCGTTTTGTTTTTGTGCAGCGTGACGCCCACCGTTCGCCCCTCCAACCTCATTACGGCCCATTTCGGGTGCTCAAAAAGTATGTGAAGGGCTTTGTTGTGGACATGGGCGGATGCAGGGAGCTGATTACTGTTGACTGCCTTAAACCAGCCTATGTCTTCGCTGATGAAGAGGTGTTGCCAGTTCAGGTTCCTAGGCATGGCGTCCTCCTACTTGACCCCACTGTTTGCCTTCTCACACTAACTGTGTTCCTCAGCCTGTTACAGAAGATGTTGTCCCTACATCCTGTTCACACGATTGTTCTGCTTTACAGGTGCCATCTGTTTCTCCATCCCTAGGTCGACGCAGTCGGTTCGGCAGGCTGATTAGGCCCCCTGTGAGAGACGGATTTTTCTTGTAGTTTCCCTTCTGGGTGTTCGGTGGGGGGTAGGACTGTGTGATGTGGTATTGGTTGGCCACGTGCCTCTCACCCAGCAGGATTGAGGTCAGGGGGAGTGTTCTTAACCCCCAGTATTTGTAGTGTGGTTCTTTGCTAGAATTCTGGTTTTGGTGCCAAAGGAATAAAGTCGACTGGTTGGAAATCAGTTTATGCCTCCTTCTTCACACGATACAAAAGTATATTCTTTAACAAACTACTAATGTAAAATTTTTTTTTGGTTGTTTTGTGTTTTATTTATTTATTTTCTTCCTGTTTGTGTGTCTAATTGTGTAAAGTC